TAAGAAAAGGAAGGGGAAGAACAGGCTTCTGAGTCTCGTGGATGGCCAGGTAGCATGCAGCCGGCTAGGCCTCTCCAAGCATTGACGCAGGCCTGCCCCTGCTGACCTCCATCCACACCTTAATGTGGCAGTGCTAATACTCACCTCGTGTTCATAGGGTCCCAAGGCTCAAGAGGCTCATCACATGCCCCAGTTGCCTTGGCCATGGCAATACCAAGGTAGCCAGGAAGCCCTTCTCCTCATCAAACAGCTTCCTGCACCTGGGTCCCACACCTCAGGTAAACAGCCAGTATCTGTCTGGCAGACCACTGTCCCGACTGATGAGGGTACAGACTCATAGCCACTCCCCATGGACAGACACACCTTGTATCTGTCCCCTTCACAAGGAAGGACATCCTTGCACCAGTGTGTGAGACACTTCAAGCTGTACCAGCCAGTTATAGTCATCATGAATTCCTCCTGGCAAGCAATACTTTGGTTAGTAGCTTGGGACCCAGTCAGAGGAGATTGGCCCCAGGGTCCCTGGAGACATAGCACAGCTGAACACCTTGGCAGTGGGCCTTCTGGCCAGCTCAGAGAAAGTTCACAAAGTTCAGGATAATGTTTGTGATTTCAGGCCAGAGACCTTAAAGTGGAAAAGGATGAAAGGAACATGGGGAACTACGAGGCTAGTAGTGACAGCTTCACGCACAGGAAAGGTCTCAAGACCCTGCTGTGTGAGAAGCTCCTGCTTGGGAAGCATATCTAGGAGAGTGGGCAGGGGCGACCCCTTGAGAGCAGCTCAGGACTCCAAACACCAATGCCATAGACAAGAAAGGGGGCTTGACAGAGAGCAGTGCATAAACAAGAATGGCCCTGCCCGAGGGCAGTGTGAACACTCAAATTTGTAGGGGATCTTCAGCAATGTGGCCTGTTACACAAGGCACGTGAACATGAGTTCACAAATCAAAACTACACACAATGAGCCTGAATACTTGGTTTACACCCCTGCTGCTGTTCTCTGCTCCCAGTGGCGTGGAATCTTAGATGTAGCACCAATAGCCAAGCAACAAAAAATAAGTCAAATTTCACTGAAATGAAAAACTTCTACATCAAGGGAGCCAAAAACAACCCAGAGAAGGAAAGAAAATATTTACAAATCACATACCTGCTGTAGGGTTAAGATCCTGTATATATAAAATACTCCTACAATGCAATAACAAATAACCCAATTAGAAAATGAGCAAAAGATTTAGATGAACATTTCTCCAAAGATACATACAAATAGCCAGTAAACACAGCAGCACTAACCATTAAGAAACTGCAAGTCAAAATCACAATGAGATACCAATTCACAGCCATTAAGATGGCAGTTTTCAAAATCAGAGTGAAAAATAAGTATTAGAATAATACTGGAACCTCTATGGATTGCCGCCAGCAATGTAAAATGCTAAAACTGATAACAAAAAGCAGTTTGGTGGTAACTCAAAAAGTTAAATATAGTATTGGAGTATTTCCAGTAATTCTACTGTTAGGTATATATCCAAAATAACTTGAACTTTGTTCAAGGCCTTGAACTTGATTATTTAGTTATTAAAATGAGGCATCACATGGATGAACCTTGAAGACATACTAAGTTAAATTAGTACTAAAAATACTAATTCTACAAGTATGAAATACCTAGAATCCACATAATATTTGGAATATAGAATCCATAGAAAGTAGTAGTAGATTCCACCTACAATATGACAGAATAGCAAGGTCCTCATAAACTCTTCCCTAAAACATGAAAATCTTTCTCTGAGTTCGGTGACTCACTGTGGGTAAAGCAGAGAGACAATAAAGGAGATGTAGCTAGGGCAGTGACCCTATCAGTCAGACTATAAGTTGGGACTGAATACAGACCATATGCAGGGAATTCCACTCACTACCTACTCACAGTTGCAGAAAATTTGGCTGCTGGTAGCATGGGTGTTGAAGCCCCTCTCAGTCCCTATTGGAAGACCTGAGAGAGATCTGCTATACTTTGTATGTTCTGTGCCCTGCACCACAGACAGGAGCAACAAGGAAGGAGGCTAGCCGTTTGGACTCTGAAGCATGAACAGGGTTTGCTTTGCAGAGCAAGGGAAAAGTCCACACAGTTCTCTCCGATTGGAATAACCCTTACCACCACACTGATACAGACTCTGTGGACCCTAGCATAGGACCCTCCCTCCTTTACCTGTCACCAAATTCAACAATATAAACAAGCGATATTAGAATCATACTGCACTAACTGGAAGATACAAATAAGACAAAACATGTTAAAGTGACAGTGAGTATCCAAATCCAGTTTGGGAAAGTTGAAAGAGACACAGAAGTCCAGAGACTATATACAAAGGACACAGGATTTGAAGACCAAAGCAAAGATTTAGGATAACAGCTTTAAAAAAATAAACCCAGAATTCCAAAACGACAGGCAAACACAGGCAGGTAGATGCAGGATCTTAGAAAAGATCTAGGGACAAAGTGTTCTTCACTAAAGAAACTGAAGGTATTAAGCACACACACACATGCACATAGACGTGTGCTAAATGAAGTGATTACAGATACATAAAGCATGTTAGATTTAAGCTGGTAGAGAGAAAATTGGAAATTAAAGATACAAGTATATAAATCACCCAAAGGCAAGAAAAGAGAAAACATAAGACTGAGGAGAAACAAATGCTACTACAAAAAATATTAGGCCCCATAAGAAGAGAAACTAAAGGTGACAGTGGAGAGAAAGAAAGGAACAGTCCCTATTAATTAATAATTGATATTTATCCCAAAACCTACGGAAAGAAATGAACATGAATTACAGGAAGCCAAAAGAATATATTTCCAAATGCAAAATTACCTTCACAAAGTTACATCATGATTCAATTAACAAAAGTCAAGGTACATCAATTAGGTTTTAATCTGATTTTTCATCAGATGCCATCAAGGCCAGAAGAGAGCTGAATAGTATATTTTAAAATCTAAAAGATGAAAACTGTCAGTCAAGAATATTCTGCCTGCAAAATTATCACTCAAATATGATGGAGAAATAAGGGCTTTCCCAGATGACAAAACCAAGTAAAGTTTATCACCATTAGACATGCCCTTAAAAAAAACTGAAAGGAGTTTTTTTACAAAAAAAAAAAACCTTGAGCATGTTGGTAAGCAGTAACACAGGACAGCACGAAAAGTATAAGCAAGAAGACAGTGAGACAAAAGAAAACACTAAAGGGTGGCCCTCCCTGGTGGTGCAGCGGGTTAAAGCACAGCACTGAGAAGCTAAAGCCACTTCCGCATGAGTTCGATTCCCGCCTGCCCTGAAGGTGACCACATGGTGTGGCAGACGTCTCCTGACCCACCCGCTGCTCCCCTCAGCAGTGTACTTCGTAGATCTGCCTTTTCTGCTCCCCACTCTGTCTCTGGTGAAGCCTCTCGCCGCCCCTGAGCCTCTGGCCTGTACCCCAGTTCTGTATGCACAAATAAATAAATCTTTAAAAAAGAAAACATTTGGGAAGGCAGAAAAGGACAGAACATGTATAGCAAAGTGATAAGGCATTACTAGCACAAAAGGGAATATTTTAGGCACAGAGTTTGGCATGACCCTATGGTAATCAGAAAAACCAGAATAGAGCAACCTTGAGGAAGAAATGAAGATACTCAGAACCACCAGGGAAAGCCATCCAAATGAAATGTCAGATAAAAACACATGGAAAAAGAAACAACAGAAATGATTGAAAGAACAGTCTCAAATAGCAATAATTATCTTAAGTGTGAATGGTCTGACTTCCTCAAGTGAAAGATACCCAGTGACAGATTGGATAAAAAAGCATGACCCGTGCTTAGTGAAATAAGCCAGAAAGGAAATGAAAAATTCCAAATGGTTTCACTCATAGCAGGAGTATAAAGGACCAGGGAAGAAAATAATAATAATAATAACAACGATGAACAACTATATACTGGAGACATTTTACAGGGGTGGAGTGGGAAATGGGATCAAAAATGGAGGCGAGGGGAAGTTTACTGGACTATGGTGATGGCACACAGGTGATTTGGTGATTGGAAGCCCACAGGGGTTACAACTGAGATGGGAAAAGGCACAAAATGATGTAAAAATAAACTATTAACTAAAAAAACAAAATAAGACAAAAAAAATTTAAAAAAGCATGACCCAGGGCCTTCCTGATGGTGCAAAGGTTAAAGCGCAGCACTATGAAGCTATTCAAGGCCACTGTAGCTTGAGTTCATTCCCTAGCTAGGGAAGGTGACCCTAATGAGGCAACAGACTTCTGCCACTCCCCTCAGCAGTGTATTTCAGTATATCCACCTTTTCTGCTCCCCTCTCTATCTCTGGTGAATCCTCTCACCCCCCACATCTCTGGCCTGTACCCCAGTTCTTGATTGCATTAAAAAAAAAAGAAATTTGCTTAAGATCTAAAGGCAAACAGACCTCAAATGAAAGACTGGAACAGAGACCATTCACTTAAGATAATTTCAAGCTAATGACACAGACACTATTCTTATAGTTGACAAGAGAGTCATTCAGCCAAAAAAGCTAATGAGGAACACTATAATAATCCAGGGGACAATCCATCAAGAAAATACAACTATTATTAAATTTTTACACAGCTGGGGCCTCACTGGTGGCACAGGGGTTAAAGTCTCAGCACTATCAAGCTATTGCCAGCCACTGCCACCAGCCAGGGAGTTGACACACATGGAGTAACAGACCTCTCCTGTCTCACCTGCTGCTCCTCTCAACAGTATATTTGAGGACCCTCTTTGGTGGCACAATGGATTAGGACACAGCACTGCAAGTTAGCTGCAGCTGCTTAAGTTTGAGTTCAATACCCAGCTCTGGAGGTGATCCACATGGCGTGGCAGACCACTCCTGTCTCGCCTATTGCTCCCCTCAGCAGTGTGCTTTGTTGATCTGCCTGCCCTGCTCCCCATTCTGTCTCTGGTGAAACCTCTCACACCTTGCACCTCTGGCCTGTACCCCAGTTCTGTATGCATAAACAAAATTTTTTAAAGGTTTATTTATGCATACAGAACTGGGGTACAGCCACAGGCTCAGAGGTGGTGAGAGGATTTACCAGAGACAGAGTGGGGAGCAGAACAGGCAGATTTATGAAATACTCTGCTGAGGGGAACAGTGGGCAAGACAGAAGAGGTCTGCTGCATGCACCATGTGGGTCACCTCCGGGGCTGGGGATCAAACTTGCACAAAGGTGGCTGTGGCCAGCTTTGCAGTGCTGCGCTTTAACCAGGAGGGCTCAACAAAATTTTTTTCTAAGTTTTATTTATTTATGCATACAAGATCTGGGGTACAGGCCAGAGGTGCAGGGTGTGAGAATTCAACAGAGACAGAGTGAAGAACATAACAGGTGGACTGACTGAAATACATTACTGAGGGGAGAAGTGGACAAGGCAGGAGAGATCTGCTGCACCATGTGGGTCACCTCCCTGGCCAGGAATTGAATTTGTGCTGCAGTGGCTGCTGATAGCTTTATAGTGCAGTGCTTTAATTCCTTGCACCACCAGGGAGGGCCCTAAATAAAAATAAAAATCTTAAAAAAAAAAATTCACATGGCTAAGACAGGTGTACTTCTATATATAAAACAACTATTAAAATACATTGAGAGAGGGCCTTCCCTAGTGGCACAACAGGTTAAGTTAGCACAGCACTAGGAAGCTAGCTACAGCCACTTCAGCATGAGTTTGATTCCCAGCCCTGGAGGTAACCCACATGGTGTGGCAGACCTCTCCTGACCTATCCGCTGCTCCCCTCAGCGGTGTACTTCATCAGTCTGCCTGTTCTGCTCCCTGCTCTGTCTGGTGAATCCTCTCATCCTCCGCACCTCTGGCCTGTACCCCAGTTCTGTATGCATAAATAAATCTAAAAAAAGATATTCACAGCAATACAGTAATAACAGGGGATCTTAACACACAATACCCAGACAGAAAGTAAACAAGGAAACAATAGCCTTAAATGAAATACTGGATCAGATGGAATTAACAGATATCAACAGACCCTTCTATTCCTAAAGAAATAAAGCCACATGCTCCTCAAGGACACATGCTACCTCTCATGGGGTAGGTCATATGCTAAGCTACAAAACATGTCTCAAAAATATATCAAAATTAAAATTCTGCCAAGATCTTTTCTGATCACAGAGTCTAAAGATAGA